ACAATGGACTAATAAGTGAGGCGCTTCACCTTCACCTTATCCTCAAGTATATATATCATGCAACAAGACATTTATAATCATTCAAACTCTGACTTTGACAATGATAACAAGAACTAATGGAATTCATCTCTCAGCATCGGATCAAATATAACTGTAAAAATTAACTTTGGAGAGTTAATTTTTCAACTTCCTTCTCAAGTGAAGATAAATGTAAGGAAAATAGGAATGATTTGTGCTAGAATCATTGATCTCACCTTTTTGGTCACAGTCAATAATATAATATACAGTAATATATAATATATACGCATACAATGTTGTACCTGATAGCCAGAACAGCCCTTTTTGGTGTAGTAGAGCAAGGCTTGTTTTGCCGAACAGCAAGAATAATTTTGCACATTTTAACCCTTAAAATATTTCATTCAAAATTAATTCATCAATATTATTATAGTGACAACAGAAATTACTAAGTTAGACCTAGTTGTATCTTCATAAGGCAGTACAGTATCTAGAAATAATTGGCATATTTAAGTATGGCCAGGTTTCAGAACTAATCTTGACAAATTAAAAAATGTCATATACATTATAGATAATTTTTAATCATTTATAAGATAAAATTATTGAGATATATTATTTTAGACAATTGTCATCCAGAGATGGTAAATATGACAAATGATATCATTAATAAATTTTGTTGATTTATACTTATAATAAAATTTAGCTAACCATAACTAACTTAGCTGTCTAATCTTCCTTGAATTGGCTAATTATTCCACAGTATTGCCTCACTTAAGTAAAATTTAACCCGTAACAAATAATAACCGAATTAATCATTGAAATATATCAATATCATGATATCAAAATTCCTGGGAAGATACAAAATAAAACTTGGCCTGTATGGCAAGCTGAGCCTTGCCAACTAGGCCTAGTTAGATGGCTCTGCTTAAATAGCATATATAATTTTTGGTTTTAAATATATATATTAAAAAGTTAATAAGAAATGTGTGTGTGTTTCCCACATTTATGATTAGTCTGGAATATTTTGGCTGAGACCGTGTTGGGATATGTACTGGGAACGGAAGTTTCACTAAAATAGTGTTATAATTGCATTCAGTAATTTAGCAAGCTACACAACACTAAAATGAGAACACAAAGAATAAGAAGATTTTTCAATCCCTGTTAGCTACATCTACATCCCTCCCTCTCTCCCCACTAGCTACATCTACATCCCTCCCTCCATCTCTCCCCATTAGCTTTATCCATCTTTCCCCTCTCTCCCCACTAGCCACATCTACATCCCTCCCTCTCTCCCCATTAGCTCTATCCATCTTTCCCCTCTCTCCCCATTAGCTCTATCCATCTTTCCCCTCTCTCCCCACTAGCTACATCTATATCCTTTCCCCGTCTCCCCACTATGCTTTCTTTGATAACTAAAGAATAGTGTTGTACTGTCTTGTTGTTCTACTCCACCGTCATCTTGTAGTAGGGATTGTACTATCTTTAAGTCAATATTAAGATAAGTGTTATCTACTGTACTGATTTTCTTCATTCTCTCAATCTCTTTGTCATATGTTTGCTGTATCTTAGTTTTAGTAAATGAAAACAAGTTTAATGCCCAATAATATATTCAGCATTATTTACAAAGTGGAGAGAGAGAGAGGGGTAGTTGTATTCTATGATGTACTGTACTGTACTTCATAACTTCAAACACTATGTTTCCATTGGCCTCCAAGTTGTCAGAACGAGAAAATATAAATTTTGTTAGATTCCTCGCACATTTGCCATACCTGACTCCATAAGGATGTTTTAATGAAATTCAATAATTTAAAAATATTGAGTGGTTACTTACAATAGCAAAGATATCCTGGTGTTAAAAGCATTCTCTGGGCTGGGTGGGAGAAGGGTTCCTTGATGGCAGTAAGAGTAATAGTGGGTGCAGGTAACATCACTCCTTGAACTATGCAGCCCAGTTAGCTGGAGGAAGACGTGACATAATGGGGACGAGCTACAATGCCAGGCAGGTGGCTACTGGTGGGTATGGTTATACCTCATTCTTGCTGCTACTGGTAGGTATGTGTTACCCAAGTCAAGTAGTGGCTTGACTTAGCTAAGTCAATCTACTGGTGGGTATGTTGAAGTCGAGTCATGCTGACGGCCATTGTATGATCGCATTGGTGAATTGTTGCATTCTCTTATATGCCGCATCATCTTACTGATGTTAGTAAGTTACAAATGAACACAGACTCAATCTTTGGTCGAGACATGATCATGTCAGGGGTGAACCCGACTCTCTCTGGCATGTAGTTTACATAATGTAACAATTTTTGTTCCTGGGTAGCAAATGTTATTTTCTGATTGCATATACCTCCAAATTATAGAAAATGGCCATTTCCCTCAAACTAAGCTTTGACCATTGCCCATGACAACCTAGGGAAGATGTCTTGAAAGTACAGGTACAGTACTGTACTTGAAGGCTGCTACTGCCTTCTCTACACCTGTAGTGTCTTGTTTCATAAGTCTGCAGCCTTCAGGTATCTTTTAAAAATGTCTTCCCTAACCTGTCATAGGCAAAGAACAAAGCATAAAGTTTGAGAGGAAATAAACATTTGCTAAAAAGGCATAAGCAATCAGAGAATAACACTGGCTTCCCAGGAACAAACAAAAATATTGGCACAGTAATATTTTCATGCAACAGTGGCAGACATCACGACTTTGCCTCAAGCCGAGTATGAATTCTAGCAAATGCTTAACTTAGTTCAGAAATAGACAGGTTCAGGGATGAAGTACAGTAAAACGTATAATGGAGATTAAGGAGCCAGAAAGGGTGTAAGGTAAGATGTAGTCCAGCAAAAATGGGGAACAAGACAAAGTGAAGAATGACAAATTAACCATTACACCTTTCGTTTCATTTAAACCACCAGTGCACTTATGGTCCACAAATCACCTCCAACTTTACTACACCTCAGTACAACTTTCCTAGATTCTTAGAATTTACATATCACTCGCAAAATCCTCTAATATAGTGGCTAAAGTCTCACCTTCCTTCTCGACTCTCAACCATAGCTAATTCTCTCTGCCAGAGGAAGCTTTCCTGTTATCAATACAGTCCCCCTTGACTGGGGACAGTGAACCCCATAGAACTTACACACTAAGTTTAATATTTCCACCAACTTCACTTGTGGATTGTTGCCTCTCCTTTGGACTGCTGAAAGTGTTCCTACTCAACTCTTAGCATTTGAGTTCTGGGGCAGAAGAGGGGCGGAGGGAAGGAGTTTCATAATTGTATCTTATTCTGTCCCAACAGTTTAGAGTATTTTTACATTTTAACTCCAGTTAAGGATTTGTTTATTAACACAGTTAAGATATGTACTGAATACTCTTCACTGACCTGTTCAATACACCGTATATCATAATTTTACTCGCCATCAGTATTCATGGACTGATACTACTCTTATTGCATGCTATTACCTTAATCACTATTCTCCATTTGACTGTTTCTCCACTATTTATGGCACTGTAATTCAGTCACATACATGCACCATACTCCGCTGCTCACTGCTCCTGTATACAACATACACAACATACCTCAGACATATTTCCTTACGATGAACTCTTCACTGGTACTTCAATCAACTTAAGAGGCAAAATATCTTCAAAATGGTTGATGTTTATCTGTGGAAGAAAACAATATATTGACAATTATCTGTAAATTACATGTCAAGAGTGTGTAAATTGCAAACATTGTAATTGGTACCTTTATCTTCATTTATATAATGGGAATATACCAAAATTATGAAGTATAAACACCCTTTCTACTGCCACCAAACACATTGGGTTGTGTGCTGATTGATACATCAGAGACATCAATGAGATGATACTGCATGTAAGAGAACAACATATGATGGCAACGTCGCTATCTTTGGTTACCATCATAAATGTGTACCATCACAAATGTGGTCAAAATAGTGAATCCAAAGATTTTCACCTGTTACAATTCCACCTCCTATTCGGGATGTTCTAACGATCCAAAAATATAGCTTTGTTGTGTTGGCAGATGGGGAGAACATATGTCGTGTGTAGCCCATAACCTAATAGTAGGGTCATGAGGGGTTCGAGTGATGGAGTGAAGATGAGGCCAGCAGAATGAGTTAGTGATGGGGGTACAACTGGGATTAGTGTTTGTGGTAGAGAAGCGAGTAGCATTGGGTTTAGTAGCATTTGGTTAGGTGGCATATTGGTTAAGTGGGTTCACATAATGAGTTAGTCAAGCTTGGAAAAATGAAATGCAGAAAATGGGGGTAGAATAAGGATATTTAATGTATATTTCATTATACTGAATCTGAAAAAGTTCTTCCGGAACACTGTGACAACGATAAAGGCTTGTCGTTGTGTGGCGTTTTCCTGAACAGGATCGTGGTTGCAACAACTACACAGCACCAGCACAGAGGAGTATCAACAGCACACAGCAGCAGCAGCAGCAGCAGCAGCAGCCACAGTAGCAGCAGTATAAGTAGCAGCAGTATAAGTAACAGTAGTAATAATAATAGCAGTAGTAGTAGTGGTAGCAGCAGTAGAAGTATCAGTACTATAGTAGAAGCAGTTGTACGAAGACACAAGCCAAGATACATTACAGATTAGATTTATTAAACTCAATTCTCAAAGAAAATGAGACAAATGCGTTGGGTTTGGACACTATCTGGATTTAACTTCTTGTTTCGAGAGGGAGGATAAAATAACCAATTTATTCTATATATATACAGGTCTATGCAATGTACATATCAATAGTGTATCAATTTAATCAATTATATACACTCAGGCAAACCTAAATATGAAAAGTTCATGTTCAACACTATAGATTGAACAAACTTCTATATTTGTGTTTATGTAGATATGCTTTAGGATGAGGAGAAATTGTATAGGTATACAGTACTGTTGTTCTTAGATTTAATGTAGTTTTATTTAATGAAATTGCTATTAAGGCATGTGTGTGTGTGTGTCCGCAGGTGTTGATGTCTGCAGAGAACAGCGGAGACTCGGCTGCCATGAAGAAGGTCGGCCTCACCATCTACTTCATGACGTCTATGGCTGTTCTCATGATGAACATGTAGAGCTCATTACTATTTTCATCATACCACCACAACAGCTGCCATCACCACCTACCACCACCGACACCCACCACTGCCATCACCAACAAGAAGTACCACAACAGCCATCACCCATCAACACTACCAACACTAACTGCCATCACAACAACCACCACCACAGCTGCCACCAGCAACCACCATCACTACCAGCGACCACTAACAACTACCACCACCACTACCACCAACCATCACCACAACCATCTTCCTGCACACTAGCACAAGACGAAGAGCAGCATCACACACAAGATCTGACATCTGTCAATAATTACTCCTCGTACCATCAATATCTGCGCCATTAAAAGCGGTGATCTTCCTGTGTTTGAACACACTGTAATTTATCTGTCAATCCCACCAAGTGACTTAATAGAACCAAATCATTGTCACAATTTTGAATCCCACTATTGGTATTTGTGAGGTTAGCGTGCGTAAGATACTTGCACTCAAATTATGAACCATGGGGAGGATGTCGACCAGTGGTCGGATGGATAGTTCATGCACTCAGACCGCAAAACTATTGTGGACGGTGGTCGGATAAGTGGTCACTGGCCACCTGTGTGCAAGGTTTCACTCTGGTACTGAGTAATGCCAGACGGTAATCTTCAGTTTTCCTGCAGTTTAGGTCTTTTCTATCTAGATTTCAGCATGTTGACCAATCCACACACTAGAAAATGAAGGGACAATCGACTTGAGAATGGTCCAGGATGGACCGAAATGTCGTCGTCCCTTCATTTTCTAATGTGTGGATTGGTCAACATACTTCAGCCATGTTATTGTGACTCATCGCCTGCATATAGATTTCAGCAGTTTGGGTTGGAATCTGGCTTCACCATGAATGTAGTATGAATACTAAACTGCACAGTAACACTGAAATTACTCCATCTGGAATTTGTTACTCGCTATATAATGTTAATGTACTAATGTCAGTATATTTTAGAAGGCCAGTACTTACTACTTTAATCATACGCCTGCCAGATCTGACCAAATTACTAAGACATGCAACTTTTCTGAAGAGAAAATCTATTGTATGAGAGGTAAGGCAGCTTCCAGTTTGTTATGAAATAAGATTTATCAAAGTTTATATTACAATGACATAATAGAACCCTGAAATGTAAATAGGCCAATGTTATTGCTAGTCTCATTTATTGAACACAGCCAGGTGTTTGTTACACGTCCCTGTCTCAAAGTGTCTCCATAGTTTGTGTAGTGTTGGCATTACAGTTTCTCGTTTATGATGAGGACGCCTCTAGCACTACTAACCAGTCAAGCTCTGCAAAAATTTGCTTCATCGAAAATGTGCTTGTGCATGTGCTTGCCTAGTAAGGTGAGTACATGCACACGCTCCTCGCACATGCACACCCATGAAAATGTGTGTGTGTGTGTGGACACAATATGTCACAATGTTGCCAATCTTCTTGTTGAGATAAGAGAAGGAAGAAGAGAATCACTTTAATATCCCTCACCAGTCTCCTCTAAGAGCTTGACAAGAGTTCTGTATTGTAGATAGTTAACATTCCACACCGCCCTCTTGCTCAGCGGTGTCTTGTTCCACCGGGAGTGTAGGTGTTCTGTACAGCTCATGCAAATCATCGCTGGGAGCCTGCCAGCGAATAAAGCCTGAATTGAACATAAGGATATTTCCACTGGTTATAAAACCCTTGAACCTAGTACTCACAAGCCTCTACATCCCCAGCTTCTCATATGTATATTCTTCCCCTTCTATACCTTCAGATATACAGGTATGTATTCTGATGCAGGTCAAGTGTAGAGGGTCCTGCCATCTGTATCTCTCAATACCCTCTGTATGATACTTTGCCTCTTCGTGCCCTTGCTAAGTAAGCCCTGTTTCATAGTATATAGTTTACAATGCAGCCAAGTTATACATATTTCTCTCCCTTTCCCTTTCCTCATCTTGTCCCTTGAAGAATTAATACGTTTCTCTAAAACTAAATCTTTAATTTTCTTGCAGACAGTGTCACAATGTGACAGATAACTAGACACCCACATATGTGTAGTGTGGGTGTCTCCTGTTATTTTTCATTTTCTACTCCTTTTTCTTTTTGTTGTATTATAGTGACATTTCATCAATTGGTCAACATTTCCAACCTTCCATATCTCAATACCCGTTGTTTCTTCCATGGCAACTTTACTTGTAAAAATTGTCTAAGTATAAGTTTAACTACAGGTATAAGTAATTACTCAAATAAAAAGCTGGCAAAATGTTGTTGTTGAGACTGTGCTCGGAGTTACTCAATGTATTGTATACGTCTGACGCGTCGGGTGTCAATCTGTATTGTAACTGTATAATTAAATAGATTTGGTTCTTTTACCACAGAAAAGTAATAAATTATAGAATTCTGTAATATTTAGTTTTTCTTAATTCCAAAATGCTGGAGCATGTGCAATTATGATTGTATTTAATGTAGTCCTTAAGCTTAATAGAACATAATAGTTTTTTAAAGGTTTCAATATAATTTTATGTTATGGCAGAGCTTTCATGCTCATCACCACTTGTAATAGTAACAGACATTCATTTGTCATTATATTCTACCAGATGAGGTGACCAGTGGTGCCCATTTCTCACCCACACATCCTCCCTATCTATTCCCTTCCCCCCAACTCAATACCTTTTCTGCCTAACCCTTTTCTGCCTTTTACTTATGGTAAAAGGAGAAATGCTTGGAGTGACTGTACACATGTGGCTCAGGCTTGGATACAAATATCCAAGGATATTTGGATTGTTGTGATTGGATGATTGAGATAAGGATTGTTCCGGAACAAATAGCCTGGATGTGTCTCAATGGAAAGATTTATGATATTCTGGAGAGATATAAGAATCTTGCATCAAGATTGTTGTAACTTTGTTGAATTGTTTATACATACATTAAACGAAAATCGGGAGGAAGATAAACATGGACGAAGACTCGCTATCACTTCAAGACGATCTTAATAGGGTTTTGAAATGATCAAAAGATTGGCAGATGCAGTTTAATGCTGACACATGTAAGGTTTTAAGGCTAGGAAATGATGAATTACAAGATACGGGCTAGATGGTGTTGAGATTGCGAAAGGGATCTGGGAGTTATGATTAGTAGGAATTTAAAACCAAAAAATCAATGCATAAATATTCGTAATAAGGCAAATAGGACATTGTGATTTATTAATCGAAGCATTACTAATAAGACACCTGGTGTTGTTCTTCAGCTATATCTTGCTCTGGACCTAGATTCAGGAAGCTCTGTGTATTTCTTCGTAAGTGGGTTTGCTACGAAGGTTCCTAAGTGCGCCCTAAGAAGATGCTTAGGTGCGATTCAATAAGGTCCACTTAGGAAGAAAATTGTTGGTTCACCTGCGTGCCGATAGAGGTCACTACTGTGTTTCGTTTGGCCAATCAGAGAGCAGCAACATTCTTCATATTGAAGATTTAGCGCTGGCTTATCGGAGCTCTACTGCCTCCTATTTACGTCGAATTTTCTTATAAAATTAGTATATTTCGAAGTAAAACAATGTTTTTTCAACTTCTACAGCCAGCACCGACATTGTATTAAACAAATATGTTACATTTGTTGTTTACCTACGTAATTCTAAGAGATACTGTGTAGCTGTCCTTGTTGCTCGGAAGATGCGCTGACAATTATTGTATATATTTACTGAATTTACCCAAGGGCCACTAACTATCTAGTGGCCTCGAAGAGGGCAGAAAGCCGGCGACTTGTTAAAGGGCCCGCCAATTGTCTTAATGATATTTTTTAGCTGGAATTTGGCATTTACGGCTTCAGCGGGTAGGCGGTTCCATGAGTTTATAGCCCTCTTGGTGGAAAAAAACATCTGTTTTCAGTCCTACTTGAGAGAACATACTCTCCAACACTATATCTGTGATTGTCCTGTTATCAGTGATTTCATACCAAATGGTATGAGGTATTTTGAGCTCTGTAATTACTTCATACACTCATGAATATTGGAAGATATTCTTGTGCTGCACCCAAATTTTGCCAGTGGGGGCTAGTAGATCAGCATTAAGTATTTTGTTCTCTCCTAATTCCATGTATAACTGGCCATCCTGTGAGGTGATGATGTTGGATGAGCTTGTAGCTGGTTTTTGATCTACACTGTGTGGTCCTTTATACAGAATAGGGAAGCAGCACATTGCTGTGTATACCTAAACATGTTTAAAAATACATTGTTTGAGAGGAGTCTGGTAGAAACTGGTAAGAGTAATTATAATATAATGTTTCCATGATTCAGTGCTTACCTCTTGTGAAAATTGCTTAGAGTTGTTTAGTCAGAGTTGATTTGTTTTTTGTATTGAGGCTGGTATTTTCTAAATTGATTCCATGTACAGTATGTCTAACCAGCCTGTGAGATGGGAGTATTAGATAAACTTATAGCTAGTTTTTTATCTACACTGTGTAATATTTCATATAGAATAGGGTAGTAGTACATTGCTGTGTATACCTAATCTTAATAAAAAAAATCAGTAATAAAGATTTTAAATTATAGTTTGTATTATTACAAATTCAGTACTGTATTATCCTTATTAAATCATGTTGACCATGGATCATTAAGATCTCATGTTGATATGTAATAGTCATATTTCTTTTGAACTGCTAATCCATGCTAATCATTCATTAAATTGTGCATTATGTCTCAATATTTCACTTCCTTGGATATACTGTACAGTACAAAAAGATAGGATAAAAATAAACCAGTAATATTTCTTTCATTATATTTTTCATTTAATAACTGCATCAATATTTTTACAGCTGACAGGATTTGTTTTACCATACAGGTGCATTATTTGT